GGGACTTTTTTAAAAGGCGGAGGGACGCGGGAAAAATTGTTATAAAGCGTGCTTATCACGCTGAAATTGGTACGTCTGGTCACCCTAATTAACTCTGTTACCTATTTTATATGTGGCCTAGTCAAGCATTGTGAATGAAGTGGATAATGCAGATTCCCTCTTGATAATTTAGTCCAACAATAAGCATAGAGTTTGGGATATTTTTTTTTATGTAATTAAAATCAATTCCTATTTACTAAATGTCTCTATTTTGTGAAATATCAATAAAATAATAGAATTTAGAATGACAATCCCTTGAAGTGTGTGTTTGGTATGCCACTATAAACAAAATCCACCACCCCTAGTTCAATTCCATTGGGTTGAGATTAATATTCCCAGAATTGTAAATTATGTTCTGAAATAAGACTTCCAGACTATGTTAGCTCGCTATTATCTCTTTGAAGCAATTTATTCTATTTCAATTTCTTAAAATACTTTGTATGCTTTCTCAAACTAATAATTCTTTTTCCAAGTCTTGTTCTTAGCTGCTATACTTCCTAGAACAGGGGATCCCAACCTTTTGGGCACGACAGATTGGTAGAGAAAGATTTTTAAACATGTTTTGCATGCTGCCTGTATATTGTGGATGGAGCTTCGCTTGTTTGCACGGTCTTATTTGCATGGCATGCTGTGGACTGGTCCATGGAGCAGGGGTTGGGGACTCCTGTTCTAGAATAGTTTCATGAGTTGACACCACATAAATTTATGGTTTAATTAAAGGATCTTTGTTTCCTTTAGGTTAACCTCGTGGGGTAGTGTATTCAACCTCTTGTTAAGTCTTAATTGATTGTGATCTTTGATACAAAGTTGATTTGCTAGCTGAACTGGACTGACTTTATGAAAAATAAGTAAGAAAAATAAGCACCTGGCCTACAAATCTTGTTCATAATCCATTGTGAGATTTAAAATTAACAGTTCTGTTTTAATAATCTTAGCATTAATACTTCAAGAACAATGAATTGTCACAATTCATTTTGTCAGTTATTTTGAATGGAGGATTTTGTACTTGTTTTAAAACAGAGAATTGTATAAATACATTTTATAGTATTTCAAGCTAAAAGTATTATAGGGCTAAAGTTTGGAAGAAGCACAAAGCACTCTGGGGAATAACTAAAATGTCAGTCTTAAAGACAAATTTTGTTCATATTAAAAATAAATTTATATTCCATTAATTCTTGGTATTGCATTTACACTGATGACATGGTGCATAATCTAAAAAAAATGTGTAGAATGTCTAAATTTCATGAAAAATGAATTAAACTTTAACATCAGGTATCCTTTTATTCAATTTAAAATATTTACACGGCAATAAGGCTACATACTCCTAACAATTTAGATGCTAGTATAATTGTATCTAAATCCTATTGGTTTCCATTATATTCTTCCAGATAAATTATGTATATTATTCCAAATAAATTATGTATATCAATACTGTTCTTTATCTCACATTTTAACCTTGCTTTTATGTAGATCTGAAAGTAGTAATCCAATTTATTAGAATATACTTTGAAAGTAATCATTAAAATGATCTTAATATAGAATCTGTATGTAATTTTACAATTTATAATGTAAACTTAAGGATTTATAATCATTAGTGAGTTGGAGACCTTAGCTCTAACATCTAAATAGGGCAACATCTAACATCTGAGTAGGATAACTATGTTAGAGCTAAGATATCTAACTCACTAAACATTATTAAAAACATTTGTATAACATATTTGTCATAAATTCTTTCAACCCTTCTGTAAGCTTTTATATGTGGAAATTGTATAGCTAGCCATGGTAATGATATAATTGTCCAACAGAATATCCTCACAAATAATTGTGCTTAGGATCATAGACTTGGAATGTTACACTGAATTTGGAAATTGATTTATTATTTATTATCATGTAAGTTTCACATCTGGATTTTCAATTTTACCCTGACATTTTATTAAGATTTCATACATTTTACCCTGATATGTGTTAGCCTTTATAATTAAAAAAGAAAAAGCATTTTCCCTGCAACAGTTCAGTGCTTTCCTCTCAATTAATCCTTAAAATGAAAAATACGTATTAACCTCCCTGGGATATATAAAGTAAGAAAATATTTACTGGGAAACAAGCCATTTGCTTTTGGGGCAATTTCTCTTTTTAGAACACATCCTTATTTTAGCTATATTTATTGTAGTCTCAGTGGATGGTATAGGAAAGCCAAGTACATAAACATTAGTGCAAGTAAGCAGATATGATCTGGTTACTATTTCACTTACTGTAGATCTAAAGCATTGGAAGCCCTGATCGGGGCTTCCATTTTTTAAACCATTTTTTAAACATACTGTTTTTGTCTGCAGTCTTGTATCTGGTTCTGTTGGCAACAATGGTATACTTCACTTTATAAAATAGGATAGGGTATCCTATTGAATAAAATTAATATTACAGTAAACTGTCTTCTGTCTGGTAAAATAAGTTATTCCACATTAAGTTCAGTATAAAAATACATTGAAATAGTTTTTATATTCTTTTTGGTGTATATATTTAAATTTCTGATTTATTAATCTTCAAACTTAAAAACATTTTATCTCTTGCAAATGGTTACTGTAGTTCTATTTTCTACTCTTATATATTCTCTTCTGACACCTTTTGAATTTTTAAAAGTTCTGTTTGCAGTTTTCTGATTTTTCTTTATTTTTGTTCGCCAGATTTGGAGGAGACCAACCAGTATACATCAATATTATTAGAGATCCTATCAATCGATTTTTATCTAACTATTTTTTTCGCCGTTTTGGAGACTGGAGAGGGGAGCAGAACCATATGATCCGTACTCCAAATATGAGGCAAGAGGAGAGATACTTAGTAAGTTATTCCAAATGTTGCTGCCTCAAATTTATTACTTTATTAAGAAGTTTTAAAGTTGTGGTGGTATCTTTGTATAACTGATGGAAATGAGAAAAGCATAAACACTGATGATTTGATCTTGGATAATAGAACTAATTTGGCATGCTCTATGTAGACTTAGTTGGGTGAAGGGAGTAAATAGAGAATTCCAATTCTTCACTAAATTTCTCTCAACACAAACATCAATCAAGACTATCGAGGGCAGGGTTATCAAACTCAAGGCCCACAGGCCGGATCTGGCCCACTGGGTGCTTAGATCTGGCCTGCGGGGCTCCCTGGAAACAGTCAAGAACTGGCTCGTGGTGCCTCTGCCAGCGAAAATGGTGTTTGGGAGGGCCACATGCAGCCCACCCAAGCTCCATTTTTGCTGACAGAGATTGCAGGAGACCTTTGCAGCCGAAAACGGAGCTTGGGAGCCCATTGTCACATGCAGAGTGCTTGGGCAACCACAGGCGCTCCCGGCACGAGTGACATCAAGCTGGTCATGCCACCCTGACCATCCCAGTCCCCCGAGGTTAAACATATGGTGTGTCCCTCAATGAAATAGAGTTTGACACCCCTGACTTAGGGAATTTGAGTAGTTCCATTTTCTGACCAGTCAGAAAATAGCAGTCTTTGGTATCTTTCATACTGTGATTGAAAAAGTAATTGAGGAAAAATTAGCTCCGCCTTATTTGAAGTGACAAGTGTAATGTTGAGGTCCACCAGAGATGAGGTATTATTACCTATTGAGGTAACGTCTACATGCAAAACACACCAGGTCAAACACAGCTTACAACAACAGTGGTTCAATAAGACTATATTGGTCCCAGCAGGCTGATGACATCATTTAACTTCTGCTTTGGTTGGTTATAGCAGAGACGGTATGTGACCTCTTTGTCGTAGATAAATTGCCACCTAATGGAGTTTAAAGGAGTCCATTGCAGTAGTGGAAAGGGATCTTTTAGACAGTTCAGCTTACAGAACTAGCAGTATCCTAACTGTTTATGAGAATCTCCTCCAATGATAATCACTGATTCTGGATACTTAGTTTTGTTATTCTGATTTCTTTAACTACTTAAAGCATGATGCCAACTATTTTATATAGTTCAAAACTGATGTAAATTACATTTACGTTACATTTCTCTTCGCAGAAACTTATTCAATTAAGCATATTGAGTTAGAACAATTTAGTAATTTAGACAAGAATTTCCATCGTTAAGCAATGCGGTTATAAAGTACAATATCATGTGACTATCACTTAGCAGCAGCAGTCCTGGCAATTTCCATTTCAATCATTAACTGAATCCCACCAATCATGTGAGGACCTACCTCAATCCAGCCCATTCCAAGTTGGATTGCAGGTTGTCCAAAGCGTATATTGTCATACTGGGAAGAAGAAGGCAATGAAAGTCAGCTGGGGTGGTAAGACTGGCAGGGTGAGTAGAACACAGGGTGGCCAAAAAGGCAGAGATTTGGGGGGGGGGGATGAGAGATAAGTTAAAGTACCCCTGCATTCTTTATTGCAGGCAGGTTACCAAACAGCAAAGGTTTGATAATGTGACCATAGGGGCATTGCAATGGCCATAATTTTGGGGACCAGTCATAGCTAACATTCATTCAGTACTTAATTCAGACTTCGAGCAGTCACTGAAAGAATGGTTGTTAAGTATGCCTTATCTGCATCTCCACAAGAAATTATCTTTGAAAACATTTCCTTGCCGAGGTTCAGTAAATGTTGCTTCTGTTTCTGTTGGATGAAAAACATTTCCCTTTCTGTGTATAACTTCTGTTTTTCAGATGATTGAGAGAGGCCTTTGTTCAGACACTGGATGCTTCTGAACTTCAAAAGTTATAACAAGGATTTCTGGGTTGTTGTTTTTTCTGATGATAGTATTTTATCTTGGGAAATTCCCACAAAGCTCCCAAAGGTGCTTTTTCAAGAGGCAACTGGAAATTCCAGTTGCCTTTTGAAAAAGCACCTTTGAGACAACCATGATTGTATTACTGAGAATCTCCATAGATGTCCCACAAAGCTCCCAAAATGTTTCAAAAGATATCTGTTAGAAGGGTCTTTCAGAGAGCGTTTAAGATTAAATTATTTAAATTTAGTAAGTGAGATTAAATCCTTAGCGACTGTTTCTTTATGCTCAATTTATAACGTAGAAAATTAAAACTGATATCTGTGTTTTAAGTTTTAATGTAATATAAAATAACAGGTTTTATATAATTCTTACTCTAGAAGAAACCAACGATAAGCATTTCAGGCTTGAGTGTATTACCGAATATAAATCACTGGTGCCTATAAGCACAGAGGTTTTGGCTTCTGAAATCTCAGAAATGTTTGCGGAAAATTCTACTGACTATTTGGAATCTTAGAGTAAATTGTTTTTGGCTTTGAATCACTTCCAGAAATAACAGCAGTTTGTGCAAAGTATTGGATAAACTTGTTTTAAGTGTTTTCATCAGGACTTACCATATTTTTCAAAGTATAAGACGTACCTTTTTTCCTCAAAAAAGAGGGTGAAAATCTGGGTGCATCTTATACACTGAATACAGCATTTTTTGCCTCCCGAAGCCCCACCCCTTCACCAAAATGGCCATGCATACCCTTATAGAAGTTTTCAGAGAGTTCCTGGGGGCTGGGGAGGGCAGAA